GATAGATAGATAGATAGACAGATAGATATCCATCTCTGTGTACTAAATTTGAAATGATCATTGAAATAGAAGCCAACGTTGGAAGAAAGCATCATGTTATGTAGCCAAGATAGTCTTTCCTGGATGATGGAGATGTGCCCTGGAGAAGATGGAAAGAGGGAGCATCACCCTTCACTTGTCAGGAAAGAAAGGAAAGGAGAATTGAAAAAAACAAATAAAAGGAAAAGCAAGGAAAGGGGAAAGTAAAGTTGAAAGGAAAGGAAAGGCAAGGAAAATAAAGGAGAACGGGAAGGAGAATGGGAAGGAGAAAGGAAAGGAAGGGAAAAAGGAAAGGCCCTTGCTGACATGCCCAGGGTAGCACTGACCGCCATTTTTGGGGTCGGGAAGGAATTTTCCTCCAGGACAAATTGGCCCAGGATCCTTGAGGTTTTTCACCTTCCTCTGGGCATCCGGCAAAGGTCTCACATCATTAGACTAAAACACATCATAATACAACAACAGGCCAATATTGGACTAACCAAAACATGCAAGCCAATCTGAATAAAAACCATTAATCTGGAGATTGCCTTTGCCTCTTTTTCTTCTTATTCATTGTTGTCCTATTAAGTGTGTACATACAAGAGAAGCTCAAGCCCTTCTACACTGCCATAGAAAATCCAGATTATCTACTTGAACTGGATTATATGGCAGTGTGGACTTATATAATCCAGTTCAAAGCAGATAACATGGATTATATGGCAGTGTAGAAGGGGCCTCTGATTGTCTTTATTTGCTGTATTGCAATTACTGTATTGCAGTATTGCAGTAATTAATACAAAATAGGGTTTGAAGAATGGTATGTTATGGTATAGTATCGGAGATAGTATTAGTCAGTTCTATTTTAATTGGATCTCTCGAGCAACCAGAAGCTACATTTAAATATCCAGCACCTTCCAGTCCCTATGGGCTCTGGTTTACATAGGCCCCTTCTACACTGCCATATAAAATCCAGATTATCTGCTTTGATAGTCTGGATTATATGGCAGTGAAGAAGGGGCCTGAGAGTCTAGTGTATTTGGTCCCCTTGATGGGGCACATCTTTCTGTTTTGATAGACCTGCATACAATTGTAGATAATATGTGCGATGGTTGGATATTACAAATACAAATATCTGGATGGAAGAGCAATAGGTAAAAAAATAAGTGATTTGTGTCCTTTTTGTGATGGCCCCTCGCAGGCCATTTTGGAGACCATGCTTGCCACTTTCCTGAAAGTATTACAAAAGGAAGCAGCTGGTCTGAAGATCCATTGCTTTCCTGGAAAACTTGCAAAAGTTGCCACAGCTGTCCCAGAAAAGCATTACTTACAAATGGCTCACTTTTTAAAAATTGTCTTTGGTACCATCTCGTGGTCAATTTTGAGATGTTTCCCCCCACCACCTCTCTTCAAAAAGACCAAGTTTCCCTAGGTGAAGATTAGAGGACAATTATGGAGCATTCATTAAAGATTTCCCCTGTGGACCCCTTCCTGTGGATGGAAGGCAATGAAATTTGGCCCAATCCTAAGTCCTCCTCCTCTCCATGGGTGCCACCGAGGGACACACATTTCTCCCATCTTCTGAAGCAACTGTAAACACCTCGCTTGCAGAAGTTGACAGGTTGCTCCAAAAGCCATGTTGGGACTTCCGAAATTAGTCTTGTAATCTGAAAAAGGCTTACCCTTCAAAAATAACTTCATTGTTGGAAAGAGGTGAAAGTCTGATGGTGCAAGGTCAGGTAAATAAAGGGGATGTGGGAGAATTCCAAAGCCACAGGAGCATGCTTCTTCCATTTAGGCAACAAGTAAGTTGGGAACAGGTGCATTGCCTTGCAGAAGGCGGACACCTTTAGTAAGCAAGCCACACTGTCTCTTGGTTTGGATGGCCTCCGACACTTTCCACAGCAGTAAAGCCTAGTCTGCCCCAGTGATCATGGTCCCCTTTGCTAGGAAGTCCATCCATCCTCCTCAGTGCTGGTCCCAAAATACTGTGAGCATGACCTTGCCTGCCAAGAGTGAGTTGGGCATATTGTGTCTTTGGAGGCGGTGAGTCATGATGCTTCCATTGCATCGACTGGACTTTAGCCTCAGGATCATTGTGATGGACCCAGCGTTCATCCTGTGTGATCCATCTGTTTGAAAAGAAGTCCTGGTTTCCATGGAACATCATTGTCAAGAGAGCCTGAGAGCATTCAACTCGTTCCTGCTTCTGGAACGAGTATATCCACGGTGGGAGAAAGAACACTTGTATTGAGATGAATGTTTTTAATATTTATGTATGCGTATATGAATTCTTGTCCCGGCATTGAATGTTTGCCGTATATATGCTGTGCTCCGCCCTGAGTCCCCTTTGGGATGAGATGGGCGGAATATAAATGGTTTAAATCTATATAAATAAAAATGTAATGTTCGTTTGTGGGATTAACAGAACTCAAAAACCGCTGGGAAAATTTACACCAAATTTGGATACAAGACACCTAATAACCCAATGTATGTCCTTCACTCAAAAAATTGATTTTGTCATTTGGGAGTTGTAGTTGCTGGGATTTATAGTTCACCTACAATCAAAGAGTGTTCTGAACCCCACCAACGATAGAATTGGGCCAAACCTCCCACACAGAACCCCCATGTGGGCCACAGCAACGCGTGGTGGGGACGGCTAGTAAATAAATAAATCTGTTGATATAATGAATACCTATTTAAAAATGTAAAGACCAGAAGATGTTCTAAACTCACTGATTGATTAGATAGGCCTAGTAGCATATAGCAACTGCAGAATATATGAAAGTTATCCCATATACCTTACTCTTCACAGAAAATAGAACATAATGGAACAAAAGAAAGTTCTCTAGGCTCACAGGCCAAAATTCACATAGTAGATCATTTTCTATAATGCATAAACTTTTCCTGATGAATGAAAATAAAATTTGTTGATGAGTCTGATTGATCAGTGACTATGCCTAAGTCACATGTTATTACTGTTAAAGCTTCAGTGTTATTTCATTTCCCATGACAAGAGAAATGTGCACAATATAATCCACGCCATGAGATACAGTACCAGAGTTGCTAAACTTTGATAAGAAGTGATAACCACTCCGTATTCATCCAAAACATTTAACTTCACATAAACAATATCAATCAGTGCATTCACATAAATATCTTACAGAATTTCCCGCACTGCCAGTATCTGAAATAATGGCTTAATTGTAGAGATTAGGTAGCCATGATTGCTTAGTGTCCCTATACAGGTAAGCAGTTAAACAACTCATCATGAGCAAAGCCTCCAATCCCAAGTTCAAAGACTAAGTTATTATTCTTCCCTTTAACTGATAAGCATGACTCTTCGAATAATGTAGGATTCATTTGTCAATATGACAGAATTTAAAAATAACATTGCATAATTAGCAAGTAGGTGGAAAAAACAAACCTTGATCATGACTGCCCACTGCATAGGACTAACAAAATACAATTTCTATATCTAACAAAATATTTGTGGCTTAGTTTCATTCATATCATTGCACCTCTCTGAGAGGCTAAACCCAACTAACAAAGTGAGTTCACTCCGATCATGACTGATTAATCTTTCAGCTATTAAAATCTCCAAAGTAACCTTTTTTGAGCACAAAAGATGACAGTCATATGTATATAACTTGTGGATTCACTCTTTATTTATTATAGCAGCCGTCTTGAATTCCGAGAAAAAGCAACCAGTGAATTTTCCAGAAGCAATAATTATAATTAAAGGTGCATACGTCCTAGCATTTCCTAGCATTAGACCTAGCACTTCCAATTAACAACTAGCAAATCTGCAGCAAGACCTCACTATTGATCATATGAATAAAATTAGCACTTTTCCAAATCTGAAAATGAACCAGAAAATGTTCACTTAATGGGAGTTGTTTTGGAATTGTTTTTGATAGGTTGGACAAAATGTGCATGTGGCCCAAGATTCATTTTCAGTCCAATCCAGAAACCATAGATAAACATTTTCTAGCACAAAAGATGAGCTGCTTCTCCCAGCAGCTTCCAGGAATAGCAATATACCTTTTAAATAGATTGTATGGCCTTTTTGCATTGTTAAGCATCAAAAAGGGCAGTTTTTCAAATGTAGAAGCAGACATCTAGCTATTTTTGCTTTCAACATTATTGGCAGTCAATGCAATTCCTCCTGGAGGGTCCCAAAGCAGGAATCCAGCCCTCACGACTACTGCTTTTGCCAATCTCCAGGTTATGTTATTGAATAACTACTCAACCCACACTCTCAGGCTTCCCTACACATTTTACATTGTACTATTCCTATGTATAATTTTGTACATAGGAATAGTACACATTCTCCGGTTTCAGCAATCTTTGTCAAAATGTAGACTTGGGACTGTCTCCCAAGTATACCAGGCAATGAAGCCTTTTTCAAAACATTTCATCTCCACAGACTCTGGAAGACTCTCCTAGGGTCCGCAATGATCGTCATTCAGACAACTGTACCATCTCCCAGTTGAGTCAGGAATGTAGCTGGGGAGGGCAGAGGGGGGGAGAGACTTGACGGGCTTCAGCAGCCCCCCCCCCCGTCCCGAAATTCTCATGGTGGTCCGTGAGAAGGCCTTACTGGTACATTATTTAAACTGTTATGTTTATTCGTATCATGATCTGATCACCATGCTCAATATATCCCATATGCATGGGGGTATTGGGGTAACGATACAAAAGGTTTGCTAGGGTAGACCCTCTTTCACTCAGACTCACCCCCCCCCCCCAAATCAAAATCCTGGCTATGGGCCTGAGTTGAGTCATTTCCTACTCCACAAAGTGAAGGCACATTGAAGGATCGGAGAGATTTTGATGTCCACTCTCACTCTTTCACAGGCAGGAAAATTGTAACTAGTGTTTTGCACACTAAATTTTTGAAATTACACATTTTTAGTGTATTCTAGAATCCTACTCTTCAGAATTTAGTCAACAAGTGGTATTAAGACAGTAAAATTGCATACCTGCTATTTTTCTGCTGTGAAACTTGATCTCCTGTCTGGTTAATACCAGTCAAAGTTACTCCGTCTGCAGCTTTTTTCTTCTCTCTCCTACTGAGAGTGCGGTTCAGATCAGCTGACCAGTCCTACAAAAAGAAAGTATACAAATGAAGCCTCTGAAGCTATTTGCTACCAGAAAGCACCATCCCCACTCTCATGTCTGGAAGTCTCAATCTCATTTGAAAGTCACCTAGCAAGAACTAGAAAGATAGGACAAAATACCATTGCAGATTCCCCTCTATTGAGATAGGCAAAAGGAATTGCCTACCCAATCCTTTAGAGTGGAATTACTAGTTCTTCATTCTACTTCTATAGGCAACGACTAGCTAAAGAATAGTCTAGATCAGGGGTCCTCAAACTTTTTTAAACAGAGGGCCAGGTCACAGTCCCTCAAACTGTTGGCGAGCCGGATTATAATTTGAAAAAAACATGAATGAATTCCTATGTACACTGCACATATCTTATTTATAGTGCAAAAACATTTAAAAACAATACAATAATTAAAATTAAGAACAATTTTAACAAATATAAACTTATTAGTATTTTAGTGGAAACTGTGGGCCTGCTTTTGGCTGATGAGATAGAATTGTTGTTGTTATTGTGTGCTTTCAAGTAGTTCCATACTTAGGTTGACCCAGAACGAGGGCCGGATAAATGATCTTGGAGGGCCGCATATGGCCCCCTTAGTTTGAGTACACCTGTTTTAGCACCTCAATATGGCTGCGATTCCAAGACAGACTTGCTGGCAAATATTCCATTCATCCTTACATATAAACCACCAAATTTTAGACAATTCCTAAGAATATATACTGGTAGTGTGGCTGGGCCCAGCCGTACACATGTTCTCTTGCTTGCTCACTCACTCACTCATTCACTTGGGAAGCAAGTGGAGAAGTGAGTGCACAAGAGGACACAAACACGTGCCCTCCCTCCTCATGCTTCCCTCTCCCATCTCATTTTTCCCAGCTGCTTGAACAAGTATAAGTGCACAAGGGAATGCACATGCCTGCACATGCTCCCCCATCCTATCCTCTTATCTTCTCCAAGACCCACATGTGTGCTTTCCCTTCTTGTACTCCTCCATACCGTCACTTCCCTCCAGCCTGACTATGAGCAAGCATTGTTAGGAGACGATAGAGAGACTAGCATAAAAGCCAGCATCCATCTTTCCCACATTTTCAGCTCTAATACTTTGCATCTAACTAGAAAGTATAATTTACTTTCTACTAATCAAGACCATTGTATCAAAACTGATAAAACTATATGTCTCAATGAAGCTGCAATTAACAAATATAGCACATGAGCTCACTAGCTTGTTTTTCTGTTTGTATTAGAAGCTTAGATAGGCAAACTTAGTTCAAGTAAAACAAGAAATAAACACAGTTTAGAACTTACTTCATCCTTGTGGCATGAAAAACAAACAAAATGCTTGTTAGGAGGGGTAACATTTTAAGTATTTTAAAACCTTTCCATTTTAAATTAAGTTCCAGTTTACAACATATTAATAAGAAATATAAATTATATAGATAAACTATATATACACATTAAAACAGTAGAACAGAAGGAATAAATAAAGAAAGGACTTTGACGATGGACAGGAATTGACTAAGTGGAATGGAATTATGGAACTCTGAAAGACGAACGCTGAGCATGAGATTAGTTTTATTGATTGTGTTATATACCGACTGTTTTAACTGTGATAATTGTTTTAACTGTTGTTTTATACGTATGTGTATTTTGTGTAGGCATCGAATTGTGCCTTTTTGTAAGCCGCCCTGAATCCCACCTCGGGGGTTGAGAAGGGCGGGGTAGAAGTACTCGAAATAAATAAATAAACTCGCTTTGTTCTCTGCTTTAAGTAATTGGGCTTTACAGTGATGGGCCTAACGCATAAAATATTTAGTCTGCCCTATTTGCTATGTAAACATTGTCATATGTAGCCTAAAGCCTCATTTATATCTGTATATCCCAACCATTGTTAACAGTGCGAAAAACATAGATGGTATATTAAATATCTATATGAGGTATGTTAAGCCCAACCTGAAAAGAATTTAATCTATATAAATAAAAATGTAATGTTTGTTTGTAGGATTAACAAAACTCTAAAACCACTTAATGATTTGACACCAAATTTGGACAGCATATACCTAACAACCTAATGTATCATAATTTTTTGAGTGATGGTCACTCCTTGTGTTGTGAGACGTTTTGTTGCCCAATTTGGTGTGATTTCGTTCATTGGTTCTTTTGTTTTTAAGGTACTCATTATGCACAGAGCATATATATGGAGAAAGGTTGAAAAGAAGAAGTTCTTACCTCAAACTGGGGCCAGTTCATTGACATGCCTGGGCCATGATTCGCTCTGAACCACCTTAAATCTTCAACAGCATCTGCTACTTTAATGTTCTGCTCCAAATCACGATAGATATTTTTATAACTATAGGAAGTATAATTTGAAATTATTACAGAGCTATAATCAAATGTTATACAGAACATTGGCTACATATTATTTTAGAATTTCTATATGCAGATTGTACATAAGAAAAAAGTAATGTATTTTACCTAACGAACACCAGAGGAATCTTCCCATATCTACCAGCCTTTTTACACTGCCTAAATTTAACCCACACTTTCTCTATCTATCTATCTATCTATCTATCTATCTATCTATCTATCTATCTATCTAATAATAATAATAATAATAATAATAATAATAATAATAATAATAATCTGATTTGTACCCCGCCACCATCTCCCCAGCGGGGACTTGGGGTGGCTTACATGGGGCCAAGCCCAACAACACAGCAACAAAATAAAATCAGAACATACACAACAACATAATCAATTACATAAAACATACGCTATAAGAATATTACAACCAATATATAGTAAAATAAAACTATTCAAGACGCAAAACAATGAGCAGGCCGCATGTACAAATTAAAATACTGGGGATAAAAACAGGGAGTGAGATAGCAGTGGAGCAACTTATTTGTGAGGGAGAAACTCTTCCGAGATGGAGTCAAGAAAAAGGACCTTTATATAAAGAGTGCACTGAAGACAAAATTGAGGGTAAATGGTGAAATGAGATTATATAGTTAATTTCCGGAAAATAAACGGCAGCCAATGGAGCTCCTTAAACAGGGGGGTTGATTGCTCCCTATAATTATATATAGTAGTTTAAACTGTATATATATTTAACTAAATAAGGAATATGGGTAATATAAAAAACAGAAATAGGATGCAAAATACAGCAAAATATATAGATCAACTCTATAGATTACCAATATTGTCATCCCTCTGCATTCATTGTGTTTAGGGACAAAAATGGAAAAAAATGTTTGTTTTTTTTAATCTGAGAGAACACCTCTTTAGGGAACTCCAGGTCCTTCAGCACAACTTTATAATCATCTCCTGCTGGAAGCTGATCTCAGAATCTCACTGGAGGATCCTCTTTTTTATTGGATTTTGAATACGACGTGGGTAGGGTATTTCCATCATGGGAGATTTTAAAAAGCAAATGTCACATCTCTTTTAAATCAAATTTAACACGACAATAAGCAAGTGTTTCTACTAAGATCAGTTTTAGGGTCAACAGGTAGCCAACCCAGGTAACTTTAAAAACAGGACACGGTGAATGGAATTTTAGCGCCACAATATTACTTTGTGGAGTTTTCTGATCGAACACAACACAACACAGTTTTGTGGCTTGCACATTTTCTTATTAGAAAAGGAAAGAACTTTTATTCAATTCAATTTTCTGCTAAAAAGAAGGTAGGTCAAAAGTTACATTTCACAGAAAGTGGTTTTATTTCTAGCACTGTGTGCATTAAAACACAGGCAACCTCAAGGCTGGAATTCTGCACTGTGCTTTTCATTGGTCCACATTTGGACCACATATGGAAACTCCAATTAGTGCAAAACACGACAGTTACACAAACATATAGGAGTGAGCATATTACACATAAACCAAGATGCCTCCACTGCTTGCCAATTAGTTTTCTGACAAAGTACAAAGTATTGGTTTTGACTTTTAAAGCTTTTAAAACCCTATATGGTTTGGGTTCAGGCTACCTACAGAATCACCTTCTCTTGTACAATCCGCCCCAAACACTGAGGTCCTCTAGGGGGCACTTGCTCCAACCAGCCAGAACCTGACTGGCAGCCGTCACCCAGAGGACCTTTCCATTGGTTGCCCCACAACTGTGGAAGGACCTGCAAGAAGAGCTCCAACAGCTAAATGAGTTGTTGGAATTTAAGACACAACTGAGATCCATCTCTTCCAGCAGTTTACTCAGTCAGTTTTAACTGTGAGTTTTGGATTCGCATTGTATTACTACGGTATGTTTATCTTCGCACCCTATGTTTTGATATATGTGTTTTGTTGTGTGTATTTTATGTTTTGACTGTGTTATATCCCGCCTTGAGCTGTTAAGAGCAACCGGTAACAAATATCGCAAGCATCGCAAGCTCGAGTGGTGGGAACGAGGGACAGGGCCTTCTCAATGGTGGCCCCACGACTCTGGAACTCCCTCCCCAATTACATCAGGCTGACCCCAACGTTGGCAGTCTTTAGAAGGAGCTTGAAAACGTGGATGTTCCAGTGTGCCTTCCCAGAATAAGGAATCCTAAGCAATATGTCCTAAGTGCACTTTACGAGAGACTTAGAACTGTCTGCACGCCCACCTATCCCTAAAATATTCATTCTATTTCCCTTGGACATGCCCAGCATTTTAAATTTTAATCCTTACATTTGGTCCTGCCACAGGTTTTTAAAATGCGTCGTGTCATTATTGTATTGTTTTGCTTTGTTATGAGTTATTTATTATTGTTTTGTTGTTATGTTTTTATGATGTATTTGGGCTCGGCCTTTTGTAAGCCGCACCGAGTCCTGCGGGAGATGGTAGCGGGGTATAAATAAAGGATTATTATTATTATTATTATTATTATTATTATTATTATTATTATTATATCTATTATTATTACTGAAGATATACAACTGGTGAATTCACATAAAGGCAATTTCCACATTCAGCAACATTCATCTTCTATGTTTACCTTGCAACAGTAGATAAGTCAAGATGTTTCTGAACTTCCAATAACACTTCTCTGAAAAAACGGAGCCGTTTTTCCTCAAACTGCTGACACTGCTCAAAAACTTGTTCCATGTTTTCCATATACTGTGGTGTAGTATTGTCAAGGTCTTTAAGAGATTTTTCATACTTTTCTTTAGTCTTAAAAGAAAAAGAAACACACAAAATTATCCACTGGAGTTTTTTAATTACATACTTTCACTACCTAATCCACAAATTACAGGATAAAAAGGAGGAGGAGCCCTGAATGTTTTCCATCACTATTAAATTGAATTTCTGTTATACAACTTTCCACCAGAAGAGGAAATATCTTATCAATTAGCTATTAACAGTGGGTCGCTGTTTTCTAAAACAAAAACTACAAATTCAAAAAAGTAACCAAACTAGAAGACTAAACTAAATAAAGTCAGCAATATGCCTGAGGAAAAAAGAACCTTGCAACACTAAACTGAAATGAGACCTAGAAATTGGTTTTGCAGAGACATAATAAAAAATAATAAAACTTTATTTATACCCCACCACCATCTCACAACAGGGACTCGGGCGGCTTACAAAGTAGCACACGATGGTGCCACACAACACATAAAACACAATACATCAACTTTTATAAAAATGAATGAACATGTCAATTTACATAAAACCACAACATACAGAAATTAACAAGAGCTCAACTCAAATTAAATAAAAAGATCAGCAAAACATAGCAATAGCCACTAATTAAAAAGGGGCCATACAATCAATTAAGCATCCTATCTGTGAACCAATTAAAATGTCAGCATTAAAGTGTCAAAGTGAACAGCAATCAGTTTAGCTAGTACATGAAACATTATCAAAGACCTACTTAAAAAGCCACGTTTTAACCTCTCCAAAAGTGTTGCAATGTGGGGGCTTGCCTAATTTCCCTGGGGCAGCTGTTCCAAAGCTGGGGGGCCATCACCAAGAAGGTCCTCTCCCTCGTCCCCACCAACTGTGTTTGAGATGGAGGTAGGACTGAGAGGAGGGCCTCCCCAGCAGATCTTAAAGCCAACATACTGGTTTGGACACAGCAAATACTCATTTAGTTCCAGTAGTGCCCTAGTTTGGTCGAAACAATAAAATATAATTTAGTAAACCTTGGTTGTACTCCCCATGTCCTTCGGTGCAAACATAAGGAGGAATACAGAAACTTTTAATTCATTTTTAATTAATCTCATAAAACCCAGAACATTAATGAAAAGTTAAATATGACTATTAAAGGGAAACAATTTGAAGTGTAGCCACACAAGTTAGCTTCTTTCCAATAATCATTGTTAAACTCAACCACAATTTTGTGCAACACTGAAATATATTACATATAATAAGCTAAAATAGAAGCAAAGTTTTCCAATTTCTTCTTGGAACCCATATCAAAGGAGACAGAAAACATGAACCCAAAATATTATGTGACCTGTTATCATGCTGATAAACCACAATTCGGTTTTTGAGAGACACTAATACAGTCTCCCAATGAATTTAAAGACAAAATAAAACAAATTATTCAGTGAAACACCTGAGAAGCTTTGCACAGTATCCAAAATTTCAAAATAAATCTCGATGAATCTATGTGAACAACAGGTATCAATGTAAGGTGCACTTTCAAAAACTTCCTTATACCAAGTTTGCCAACCCACAAAATAATACGGTCAAGCTCCATTACATCAAACTCTATTTTTCTGATAGATAAATGCAAATAAACGCAACTCCCTTTGGATATCTTGGAAGCTTTCAGAACTATTTTCATATAACTTTGCAAAATACAATGAGAATATGATATAAAAACAAGATAATTATTTGCCCCTTTCTTAAGTTCATTTCTAAACTTACAGCTTTAGCTATATTTACAGATCTAGCAAAAATGAAATAATATTGACATATGTTTGCTTGTAAAGTACAATCTTCAGAGCAATATATACAGCTTACCTTAAGCACATCCTGTTTACTTTTATCCACTTTGTCTTGTAGTTTCTTTAGCTGTTCTGGATTAAGGGCTGGGTCAGCTTTGCTATTAGTTTCTCTGGATATAGCAAGTTTTTCTTCCTTACAGGCTGCATGGTATGCTTTCTTAGCAGCTTCCACCTGAGGTAAAACAATTTTAACACTTTTATGTTTTACAGAACCATTATAAGAAGCTAGAAGAAACTAGTCAGTTTCCTAACATATATTACCATATGAAATAAGCATTTGTCAAGCTATATTTACATCACCTTCTTGAATCTCCCCCACCCACCCCTAAAATGTTTTGGATTGTATTTCCCATATTTTCTGATCTTTCTTAACTGTAATTTTGCTACTGTTATGAATCGTAGTGTTAATATCTGATATGCAGAATGTATTTTTATTCCCAGGACCAAATTTGACACAAATACCTGATATGCCCAAATTTGAATATTGAGGGTAGGTGGGTAGGTTATTTTGTCATTTGGGAGTTGTAGTTGCTGGGATTTATAGTTCACCTAAAATCAAAGAGCATTCTGAACTCCGCAAACGGTAAGAGTTGAGCCAAACTTGGAACATAGAGCTCCCATGACCAAGAGAAAATACTGGAAGGGTTTGGTGGACACTGACCTTGAGTTTTAGAGTTGTAGTTCACCTACATCCAAAGAACACTGTGGACTCAAACAATGATGGATCTGGATCAAAATTGACATGAATGCTCAATAATGTGAACACTAGTGGAGTTTGGGGAAAAGAGACTTGACATTTGGGAGTTGTAGTTTCTGGGATTTATAGTTCACCTCCAATCAAAGTGCATTCTGACCCCACCAATGATAAAATTGGGCCAAACTTCCCACACAGAACCCCCACGACCAACAAAAAATACTGTGTTTTCTGATAGTCTTTGGCAACCTCTCTGACACCCCCTCATGACTCCCCCAGGGGTCCCGACCCCCAGGTTGAGAAACACTGATTTAAGAAGTTGTACGTCAAGATTGCTTCAGATAAACTGAAGAATTGTATGGTGAAAGAGAAATGTTGTAATGAATTTCTACAGATGGAGAACTAAATACCGGCACTTAACAAAAGCTGGGGTTACTTTAAAAAAACAAAACCTTTCGGATCCATGAACTCATTCACATTTTATCAATTAATCAATTTTCAGCCAATATATTTATCATCTAATTGCAATACAAACACTTTGAGAAACTGAAAGTATCATCAGGTAACTCACTATTTTGGCAGTGTAGTCTTAAGTATATTTATTTACTGAGTTCCCCAGTAGGTGCGCTTTGTACCACAACCCTGAATCTACCAAACTGATGAGAAAATTCCATTTGTGATAAGAAATGAAAAAGTCCCAGTAGAATTCCAGCTCTTAAATAGCCTCCAATAAAGGCTAGCACGGTTCCCTCTCTAATTAAAATGTCTCTCTCTTGGATTTAGAGCAGCCGTATCCTAAGGGACAATCCGGTGCTTCTCCTGTGGCCTCCTAACGACAAAGAAAGAAGAGTATAACCACCAACTGGACAGTTTCACTGAATATTACAAGGGTGCCACTCCTTCTCTAACATCTGGTCTTGCTACTAGAGTAAATTAACCAGCCAAGCATCTTTCCCAAGCCAATAATAACAGCAGTAGCAATTACATGGAAGCAACCAAAGGACATGGGGAACAGAAATATAAGGAGGCATCAAATTAAGACAGCTGTCTGGAGTGTGCATTATTTACCTCTTTTAACTTTTTCGCCCATGGTTTCTGGGCTTTTCTAAAGCCATCTTCAGCTTCTTTCGTTTCCTTAAATCCACCAATCATTTGCTTGTGAAAGGAGTCCTTCTGCCAGTTCTTTATCTTTTCAAAGTCCTCATTCATTAGGGCACCTTTTACTTCTAAATGTAGTTCACTTACTTTTTCAGCTTCAGACATAAATGCATGCCAGGCCTTTTCAACAGTTCCATATTGTGGCCCTGAAAGATATATCAGCAAAATAAGTCATTTTTCCGACTGCATTGAGAGATACAGAACAAGAGAAAAGGACAATATTAACTCTCATATTACGTAAGCATTTTTGCACACTATCATAAACTGTGTCAACTCCATGATGAAATGCCTAACTTCATATATTTTCACGAGTTTCTTGTAAGGTAGCTTCCATATTTCTTTCCAAACCAAATATATTTTAACAGCCCTTTGCAGATAATACAAGCTCTTGGTTTTTTGTTGTTGTTGTTTTGTTTTTTTGAAAAAAACTAGGAGAGCATTAAATAACAACCATGACATCAGTACAAAAAATGTAAAAAAAAATCCCATACACAAAAAACAAACACCAAAGAGTATGCTATTATTGCTTCATGGATTAGCTAAAGAGATGCGACTTTGCCATTGGTGCTAAACCAGACACCTTTGAAAGAGCACTCAGTGAGAAGAGAGTAGGTTTAAATGTCCCCTGTTCAGTCACCATACAGGGATTGCATGGAAAACACCTTATGACTAAGGCAACATTTCAGTGGATTGGTACAATAAGAAGAAGTTTTTAAGGTACCTAGGTTCCAGGTTGTTACCAGATCAACAGTCAATACTGTCAATTAGGAAAAGGTAAATGTTATACTGTGTAACATATATATGTTACACATACATACACTACAGCTAAAAAGATGACACTTCAGAATCCCCATCAATAATGAGCTCACCCCCTAGTATTTTATTTATTTATTTATTTATTTCTTGCACTTATTGACCGCCACTCTCAGCCCTAGGGGCGACTCGTGGCGGTGAACAACAACAAAGAAAGACAGGATACAAAATCATAACAGTACATAACAAACTACTACTACAACATATACTTATGCTAAAAATCCGCTTCGTCTAATCCTGGGGTCATAGCCAAGTTCGTAGTCATAGTCCATTCTAACGTCGTTCCACAGATACACTTAGTTGAAGGCCTGCTCGCAGAGCCAAGTTTTCAGGCTCCTACGAAAGGCCATCAAGGAGGGCGCCTGTCTAACTTCAGTAGGGAGGGTGTTCCACAGCCGGGGGGCCACCACCGAGAAGGCCCTCTCTCTCGTCCCCGCCAGACGTGCCTGCGAGGCAGGCGGGACCGAGAGAAGAGCCTCCCCGGATGATCTCAAGGCCCTCGTGGGCTCGTAGGCCGAGATGCGGTCTGCAAGGTATTTTGGGCCGGAACCGTTTAGGGCTTTGTAGGATAACACCAGCACCTTAAATTGGGCCCGGTAGCGAATCGGCAGCCAGTGGAGCTGGGACAGCAGGGGCGTTGTACGCTCTCTGCGTCCTGCTCCCGTTAATAACATGGCTGCCGCGCGTTGGACTAGCTGAAGCTTCCGGGCCGTCTTCAAGGGCAGCCCCACGTAGAGAGCGTTGCAGTAGTCAAGGCGGGATGTGACCAAAGCATGTACCACCGTGGCCAAGTCCGGCTTCCCAAGATACGGGCCTGTAAGTAACGTTGCAAGCAGTAGTATGAGTGCCAGAAGGGGGAAAGGGGTACTCGTGAGCAGGAGTCAGATGAAGAACATCAAAAGAAAAGGATCCGGGATATACTTATGGTGCCTACTGACGAAGACTCATTCGAAGGGTTTTTTGGAGACGAAGGGTCAATGAGTGAGGGAGAGGAAGGAGATACAATGAATGGAAATAAGGGTACAAAGAGGGTTACTCGGGAGCAGGAATCGGATGAAGAGCGTGAGAGGATGAACCATTTATGGGTTTCTCTGGGAGTGATGGGTCTGGGAGTGATGAGGATGGAGATGACACATTGGACTGGACTAAGGTTAAAGAGGTACAAGATGTATGTGCGGAGCCGACGTCTAGTGACACATTTATGGGTTTCTCTGGTAATGAGGATTGGCAAACAGGAAATACATCTGTCTCTTGGGGGGTCTAAGTATTGACAGAAGATGGAGGAGTTGGAGGGATGGAAACAAGGGTTCACGTATAGAGGCAAGAACAGTTGTAAGAGATAATGATGGGGCAGAGGTCAGCTCATCTTCTGATGATGATGTGTAGGACAAAAGTAGGCCCTAAAATGGGGAATCTTTGCAGAAGGCAAAGTGTCGGTTACGTCCATGTATCGTGTGGACTTGTCTCTGCCGGTTTTCATGTTGGCTTTGGGCCCGGGTTCTGCAGCCTGGAGTTCTTGTTCTTGTGTGTGTTCGACTTGGATTGACTTCTCGTGAGTGCGGATTTCCTGGATTTCGGACTGGCTTGACGCCGCCGCTGCTTGACGGATTTGAAAACGATGCTTCTTCGGATTACTTCTACGATGACTTCTGGACTTTGGCTGGCTTCAGTTTCTCTTTCTGCGGTTTCTTCCTGCTGTTAACTGTTTGAGTGTGGCGCTGTTTGTTTGCCGCTAAGTACTGCGCTTTAATCTGGTTCTTTTCTCTGGTTAATCCGGATTATATTTCCATTTGCTTTTTGAACCAAGTTTGGTTAGTTTTTGAGTTTTGGCCAGAGGCACTGAGGTTTAAGTGTCTCTGAGCTTCTGTTTTTTGTTGCAATAAACTTTACTTTGGAACCAATACTATGTGTGGCCCGACATCCCCTGTGTCTCGACATCCCCTTCCTTAATTGTATTTCAATTGTATTTCTGTTCTTGAGACATTATTTAGTCCATGACCAATTCTATTCTATGGTTAAGCCCTCCATCATTTCTGACTCTAATGTAAAGGAAAAACAGAAGTGACTATTTTGAAAAAGAGCTCATAATTGGCCGGTGAGTTGTAGTTTACAACGCCTTCAGAAGAAAACTACAGAAGGCCTTGAACTTTTTCTCCACCTGGAGAAGAGCTCCACCAGATGATACTATCAAGAGATAAGAATGGAATAGAAGTTGGTTACTTCTTCCTTACTGCGAGCGATCACTACAGAAGAGCCAAGTAACAAGCTTTTACCAGTGTTCACTTGAATTATCTGAGTATTTTACTACTTGGTCTTTCAACTGCTTCATTGCCTGTGTGCATCATGTCTATACCTTCAAGTTGCCTGTATCATATGATGCAAACTGTCTCTTGCCTCGGAATCCCTAAACCCTCTTTCCATATTATATGTTTTGTATTTTAATAGAATTATTAAATTCATCCTTGTCTGATCACCTTGCTAAATAAAAACCATTCTTGGCCATTCAGGTTATGCAACAAATGTTGTGGCAGTCTCATTTATTTAGAGCAATTCATTTTGTGTGTGTGTGTGATCTACTCAGTCCTCCTCATCATCATCATCATCATTTAATTACTTATTAATCGCCCTCCATCCGAAAATGCTCTAGGCGATTTACAGCTAAATTGTAAAAGATAAAATACATACATACAAAAATTAACAGGGATCGAATGCTCTAGTAAAAAGCCAGGTCTTAAGTACTTGAGTAAAAGGCCCTAAGTCACACATGGCTCTCATATAGGGTGTCAAGGAATTCCATAAGGCAGGGGCAGAAATAGAAAAAGCCCTGCGTCTGGTCCTTTCCAAGTGCACTTCTCTAGGGCCCAATATATAGAGTAAGTTGCGTTGGGCTGGTCGTTGCAACCTCCGACGATGGGAGGAGAGGCGGTCCCTAAGGTACGATGGACCCTGGCCGTGAAGAATTTTAAAGGTCAGAACTAACATCTTATACAGGCCACAGTACTCAGTTGGAAGTCAATGTAAACGTTGCAGCACTGGTGTTATATGGCATTTCATGGGCGTTCTTGTGAGTAACCTGGCTGCCGCGTTCTGAACGATATGAAGCTTTTGGGTCGTAGACATCGGAAGGCCAACATACAGGGCGTTGCAATAGTCCAGCCTAGACGTGACCGTGGCATGGATGACAGTTGCCAGAGCCTCGTCAGATAGGTAGGGTGCCAGTTGCCTCGCTTGTCATAGATGGAAAAAGGCCTGTTTGCTGGCAGCAGCGACCTGAGCTTCCATTGTCAGCTGCGAATCCGGGACAACACCTAAGTTCTTAACAGTAGTCGATGGAGACAGGGCGGCACCATCAAAGGTGGGCAATAGAGGAATCAGACCTGCCGGGCAGCCATGCCAGAGAATCTCAGTCTTTGCCGGGTTCACCTTCAGTCTGCTAGCACGTAGCCAGTTCGACAGAGCTTCCAGACATAGGGTGAAATTGTCTGGTCCTGATGTTGCTCCAGGCTCCAGGCGCAGAAGGAGTTGGGTATCGTCCGCATATTGGTAGCAGTCCAGGCCGAAACTCCGAGCCAAACTAGCAAGGGGTCTAACATAGATGTTGAAGAGGAGAGGAGAGAGAATTGCACCTTGGGGGACCCCACATAGGAGGGGGGATCTATCGGAGACTTGATCCATGTACTCCATGCGTTGGCTCCGGTTCCGGAGAAATGAGTTGAACTAATTAAGGGCCTGACCATGAACTCCGGACATGGCAAGACGGTGAATCATTAGATCGTAGCCGACAGTGTCAAATGCTGCAGTTTGACACCATTGTACCAATAGCGCAGATCCACCGTTGTCAGACTGGCGACGGAGTTCATCCATAATGGCAACCAGGACTGTCTCCGTCCCATGGCCCTGGCAAAAACCTGACTGGAAAGGGTCCAGGCCAGCTATGTCATCCAGGAATTGTTGCAATTGTCCTAGTACAGCCTGCTCTATCACCTTGCCTAAAGTCTTAGCTGCCCATTATGTTTCCTAAAGTCCTGAATTTACATATATTTCCTTAAGCTCCATAATTATCAACATTTAGTAAAGAAAGTAGAACAGTTACATTTCACTGTGGTTTTCATAGCCTGGATTCCATTATTTCTCGTATTTCTTCTAATGCAATTAATTAGGTATATCTAAAACACCATTATTTGTTTTTTGAAACCTGAAGACCGAACTGCTCTTGACATTGAAAAATGAAGACTTTAATAGATGACAATTTATGCAATATATAGGGACAACAAAAACATGAGGCCTTCTTTCAGTGCTTCTAAGGAATATCCTAAGGCACTCTGAACAATTAAGCAAGCTGCAATTTGAAATCAATACTGAAACAAAAATATGCACAAACAAGGGAAAAAGTTTTGTTTACCTTTTTCTACAAGCTGTTTCCATCTCTTTGCCCATTCTGTTAACTGCTGAGCATAGCCCTTTTCTATCCTTGCCCGCTCATGAATACAATTCATAAGATCACTACAAAGTCTATAGCCATCATCAATCCGTTTCACTGTCCGCTTATAATTTCCAACCTAAAAACAGGGAAACATTTGGGGTTAAGAAATCTGGGAGCAACCTCCACTTCTTAAAATATGTTTAAATTGTTTCAGATCCGCTTATGAGTGTTTGTTTATCATTTTTGAATGCAACTTCATGGTCTTCAAAGCAAAGCAGGGGGAGAGGCAAAAGCTTCAATTATGGTCTGCCAATTCACACATCACAAGAAACCACAGAAATATTTCAGATCACAATTTAAAGCCAATGTTTGCCAACTGACTATTAGCCAGGGTTTGATGTAATGTCTGAATCGAGCCAATTCAGAAGAACAGGAACCTGGTGAAGTTAGTGAGCCTGGTGATTATTTATTCTACATGATTGCTAAAAGATAAAATAATCTGCCATTTGTTTTCAGTTCAAATGCTGCTTTTAAGAGTATTTTGCAATGTTTACATTTTGACCAAGACATACATTGGGAATAAAACAATGTTTATGAAGATAAATCTAATAACTATTCCTCTGTAGGTTTCAGATGGTTTCTTCTGTTTAAAACATGCAAATATCTCCCTTGGGATACTCAAAATAATGGTGTAATGCTCAAAATAAGTCAGTTCTTTTAGGCATCAAAGGAATGCATTAATTAAATGCTGCAGCACTTCAACCGTTTCACATTTTTCTTCAACTAGCACATCATTTGAAGTCAGTTCAATTGCAGTAGATCTTCAAATGTTTATGATTCCATTCCATGTTGGCATTTCCTTAGTGAGTCTTTTTAAACCATGGGGAAAGAAGAAAAATCCAGTTTTCCAAAACACCCATCTTTACAATTAAAAAGAAAGTCAAATGTGAATGAGCTCCCTTATTTCCTCCCATATGTCACTGGAGAGCTTGGCTATTTGGATATATTCAACTAATTTTCTTCTCCAAACCTTAATGAGTAGCTCTTTTTCCCCATTCCAAGATTTTGCTATTGTAATTCTCGCTCCCACAGAATTATATTGGCAAGGTTGTTGTAGGTTTCTCGGGCTGTATGGCCATGTTCTAGAAGCATTCTCTCCTGACGTCTTGTCTGCATTTATGGCAGGCATCCTCAGAGGTTGTGAGGTTGTGAGCCCGAAAAACCTACCACAACCCAGTGATTCCAGCCATAAAAGCCTTCGACATTATATAGTGCCCTTCACCTCACCATCGGGACCGCATTGTCCACAAATCCTGATGAATGGATTTTCTTCTACCGTACTTGTACAGCATCACCCTTAATGCTTTCATACAGTCGCTGCATATGGCAGGAACGCGGCCACTACCATTTTTGAGCTCCCCCACCATATGCGGCAACCACAGATTCTCCAATCCAATTGGAAGTTTCAGCAACCGCTCTATAAGACTACTCCCGTGTATAAGACTACTCCCGTGTAGAAGACTACTCCAGCGTATAAGACTACTCCAATGTATAAAACTACTCCCGCATATAAGACGACCCCGTGTATAAGACGACCCCTGACTTTTGAGAAGATTTTATTGGGTTAAAAAGTAGTCTTATACACCAGAATATACGGTACTAGTTCCACACTGAGTGGTGTCGGAAGTCATGAGCAGTGGTTCACGGGTGGGAATGGGGTTGGGGAACCAACATTTGTATTTTGATTGTTGCATTTTGAATATTATATGCTTTTTCACATAACATAAAAAATGTATACCACACACAGAGAGACATACACTCCTTCGTTCTCTAGAATCAGCATTTTCCTTTCCTTGCTCATCAAGTTGCTGTCAATTGCTAGTACCCAGTGATGTATTCCCACACATCTAAACCCTGCTCTAGAGGGCTGAAAAACTATCTGGGGCATGGTTTTGGCAATACAGACAGCCACACCAATAGACAAAAGTCCAAATTCTGCTCGAGCTGAAGATGGAAATAAATCAATATGTACTAGCAACTGACAATAATTTGACCACTCTGAACAAAAAGCTTTATGCCTTGTCACAGATTTGATCAAGGTTTACCTACACACAAAGCTAAGGCCCTTAACAGCAAGGTTTGCACAATTTATAACATCAACATAACTTAACAGCCACAGAGTTGGGGAGTAGATCCAGGCAAACACAAAATCATGTCATCGCTCACCCGCCTCCCATCCCCACTCTCAGATGGCCAAATCAAGACAAGATGTGCTAGTTTCAATCAGTACCTCTCACTTTATATACTACCATCTATAAACGATGAATAGGGGTAGAGTACAGGCAAAAACAGATTTGAGAATCTGAAACTTATTTTTGTAACTGGGTGATAGCAATTTAAGTTCACCAGTGGGAGACTTAACTGCAAATACAGAAATTCTCCTCTCCTTTTTTTAGTTTAAGAATTCAAGCTTGAGTGGAATAGATTTTTCTGACAGAAAGGTCCATCTTGTACCATTTTTTAAGGAACTAAAAGTTTATTCAACTGCCTTCACACTTAGTGTCTTCCGAAGGTTTGGGCTTCAATTTCAATCAAGCTTGGTGTTTCAACCCAAAACATCTGGAATACACACATACATACATTCAATCAATCAGTATCGCATATCTATCAAAGTCCTAATGTACCAATATGTATATTGTTACTTTTTTCACATTACCTCCCAGAAGCTATCACTAGAAACCTCTACTCCAACAGAGTCATCATATGAGCCAGACATCTCAAGGTGTCACTCGCAATTCAGGATCTTACATATAAAAGTTCTTCAAAGTCTGCAAAGAGAAAACAAAGAGATTGGCTAATATAAAAATCACGTATTCACTGACACAATCAAAATACTTCTTCATTTGTTATGTTTATTTTTGGTTTTAGATCCTTGCCAAATAGAACTCCAAAATCCCTCATAGTAACTAATAAGAATGAAATACAAAATAAAACTGTAATGTCAAAACCACTGGCTAGGGGCCTTTTGTTAGCTTTCAGGTAAGAATGCTTGGGAACTAAATTCTGGAGAAAATTACATTGCAATATTTAATTTACAGGTACCAGAAAAATGCAAAGTGGGTTTTACTGGTATATTTCTTGTAGTTTTAAGTCACATCAACAAAAGTTCTTTCTTCCTTTGCTGGGTATACTGCCCATCCAATTCATGGCCTGAGAGGCCTGCCAAGACATTCAATATTATATTTAATTTCTCTGTGCAAATCCACATGCCCATGTGCAAAGTACTTTTACACTTTCAGTATATTTTGCATAATGCCCATAGTAAGTAAGGGATAAGGTGCGCTGCATTTGTTCACTGGAGAGGAAAAAGCCTGTGCTGAAATACATTTTACTTTATCCTGTCAGGCTGTTAAAAACCATCAGTGCCCACCAATCTTGGACACAGTTACAATTTACATAGCAAATGCATTTCTTTACATCCTGTGTTTGCCAGAAGTCCTTCTAATAACCACAAAGGAGAGATATGAATCCATACCTTAATATATCTGATCAATAAGTATATAAAAGCACTTCCACAACTATAGACTGAAGGTTATTCACAATCCATGTAAATAACATTTCAATATGCAATTACAGTAAGAATTATACCACCAAAACATTTAACAACAACCAGAGAATTTTACAATCCTGAGAAAATGCAGTGAAGGGCTTATTGAGGTCACTAACAACTGAATGTGCTTTCCAGCAAGAAATCACTTTGTGTAATCACATTCTAGTTGTGATGCTCTCTCCAGATCTGTCCAGATCAAAAACTGAATTTCAATTTTGTATGAAACAACTAGACAACATTTAAGATCAAATACATATCAAGAGAATATCCAGCTGCTGAGACACTCAGATGTGAAAGAAATTGCAGGTCATATAGAACATGGAGTTTGAGAAACACGAATTTAGGGGAAGCTAGATATTGCATATGAATAAATGGAATGAACAAACTTGTCATACCAAAGTGAGCAAGCTAAAATGTCCCCGGAATGGGACATTTTCAATCCAAAAATCACCAAGTGGTTTATTCAGGCAATGCAAATCTAAGAAAAATGGAGTGGCATTAATAGTAAGGACAGATGAGGTAAAAATAGTCAATGGATATAATGCAAAGCCTGAATGAATAATATTGATAGGCAGTGAAAGTTCTTTGTCTAAGGTAGAATGGGAGACAATCACCTAGAAGCCACAAAGACTGAACTATATACTTTGGATATATCATAAAAAGACATGACATTAAAAAGAGACAATAAAGCATGGTAAAGTGGGAGGCAGAAGAAAAAGAGGAAGGTCACATTACAGATTAATTGATCCAATCAAAGAAACCACAGCCTCAATTTTGAAGAACCTGAGAAGGGCTATTGGAAATATGGCATCTTGGGAGTCTCTCAATTTGACAGCAGTTGATAACAAGAAGAAGTTAGGATTGGGAGAGGGGAAGAGAGAGACTTAGAATGGTCAACCAGAAATCACAACACTGATAACTCTATGTAACAAAACTTGAACAATTTTCGTGGTTTGAAATTGTTATTTCCTGTTTAACTGTGCAGAACTTACTTTGAAAGTAGTTATTATACTCCAGAAATTTTGTTTTTGTGGGTGCCACAAGCTATCTTGAATTAGTTGAGACTCTTATGAGATATTCATTGAAAAACTATAGCAAAATGTGCTGAAGGATGTCTCGCAAAAACAAAGTTTTTGCAGTTTAAGAAACTTTTCCCATGTTTTTATGATGGAACCAATTAGGAAATTACATTTATAATACAGGAACAAAAACTGTGTTGCATAGTGTAACCAAACAGACTTGCAAGTTACTTAAAGATTTTCAGTGGTGGGTGGAGAGAGTCAGATGACTGGATAAGTTGTAAGTATATTTGCAAACACCTTGAGTATTAGGCCACTTCAAGACCTGCACTTATTTACTCTTGCAGCAAAGCTTTACTTTCCAGCCTCTTTTTGCCAGCATCTAAGATGTAAGTCAGGGATCCTCAAACTAAGGCCCGGGGGCCGAATACAGCCCTCCAACGTCGTTCACCTGGCCCTCGCTCAGGGTCAACCTAAGTCAGACATGACATGAAAGCACACAACAACAACAACAACAACAACAACAACAACAACAACAACAACAACAACAACAACAATCCTATCTCATCGGCCAGAAGCAGGCCCACACTTCCCATTGAAATACTAATGTTTATATTTGTTAAAACTGTTCTTCATTTTAATTACTGTATTGTTTTAAGCGTTTTTTTGCACTACAAATAAGATATGTGCAGTGTGCATAGGAATTCATTCATTTTTTTTCAAACTATAATCCGGCTCGCCAACAGTTTGAGGGACTGTGACCTGGCCCTCTGTTTAAAAAGTTTGTGGACCCCTGATGTAAGTAAAGGGAGGCTAGATTTTTCAGCTACATTAATAACAGTCGCAACTGTGGTGTTAGTAATATTAATATGAGGGGTATTTTTTCAGTAAGGTCCGTTGGAACATAAGTACACAACGAAAGTTTATTTCAAAAAAGAAAATTTATTTTCAGAAAGTACATACTTCACTCTATGTTTCGACATAGTTGCCAAGTTTGTTCAAACACTTATCATACTTCTGAACCAATTTTAAAATACCTTCTTCATAAAAACTTGCCGCATGCTCCGATAACCAAATCGTCTGTAATCAAAGAAGGACGACCGGAGCAGTCCTCATCATGGACGTTGTCACGGCTATCTTTGAATTGTTGTACCCACTTACACACTTCGCTTTCTTTTTTTTTTTTTTTCTTTTCTTCTTCTCTTTTTTTTTTTTTTAATTTTTTTTTTATTAATTTATCACTTTATTACGTACTATTACATTTTGTACATCAACCT